GAAGAACTTTGAAAATCACAGTGTTTATATAAAGTATGAAAGGAAATTTGGAAAAGCTAAGGAAATAAAGTTAAACAAATAGATTCTTGAAAGAGGGAAAAAAACTCTGAGTTGTCTCATACCTGAGGAACGTTGTTGAATAACTGCTAATAAACAATGCAAACGTTTTCATCAATTTCCTTGGTAATCTACAATTCTAATGAGCATTCACAATTAATAAAAATAAAAATAATATCGCGTGCTAGTGTAGCCCAATGGCATCTGCTCGCTCCAGGAACATGAAGAGCCTCAAACAGATCTGACCATCTCATAGGTGGGCGGCCACTCCATCTTTTGACGTCCCATGGAATCCATTTGGTAACAGCTCTATTCCAGCGGTCCCATGCATGGTCCATTATCCCTAGCCTTTTGAGGATAATCTCTGGGCTCAGATATCAGGTTCAGCTTTTTTAGATAATTATTTAGGATTTTTTTTTCTTTTTGGGTCACACCCGGTGATGCTCAGTGGTTACTCCATATGGGATGCTGGGAATCAAACCAGGGTCGGGCGCGTGCAAGGCAAATGCCCTACCCGCTGTGCTATTGCTAGAACCCCTCAGAGAATTACTTAGACTTGCAGCATTCTATGAGCACACAGAGCTTTTTGGTTATCACCAAAATGGTGATTATTTGGTTTCTCTTCAGACGCTTCTGACATTTTGACATTTCTATTAAAAGGCAGTTTACATAGAAAATGTTCAGGAAACAAAACAAAGTTCTTTTGAAATTCAAAAAAAAAAACAAAACTACAAGTTATTTTCTAACATTGCATTTTTCAGGTTTCACAAATATGCTCGTAGTATCTACATTTTTCCTACTAGTTTCCTTTCTTAGAAATTCTTAAGTTTAGTATGTTACAAGTTCCATGCTTTTCTCACATTGAAAAGAAAGTTCTTCTTTTTTCTTTTTTTTTTCCTTTTTATTACAAAATGGGGCTGGAGAGATAGTATAGCGGGTAGGGTGTTTGCCTTGCATGAGACCGACCGGCCGACCAGAGTTCGATTCCTCTGCCCCTCTCAGAGATCCTGGCAAGCTACAGAGAGTATCTCGCTCATATGGCAAAGCCTGTCAAGCTCCCTGTGACGTAGTCAATATGCCAAAAACAGTAATAACAAATCTCATAATGGAGACGTTACTGGGCCCGCTGGAGCAAATCAATAAACAACGGGAGAACAGTGACAGTGACAGTGATACATATATAATTATTATATAATAACAATTTTTAAGTGCACCATGCTTTTTGGTATAAAAACATTCCAAAAATAAAAGGTTTTAGAAAATATGTCAAGTAATTTTGTGAGCCCATAATCAAGAATAATCAACCTCTTACCAAAATGTGTTTCTTTTTATGGAGTCAGAGAGAGAGAGAGTACAGTGGGTAGGGCGTTCACCTGCATGAAGCTCACCAGCTTTGGTCCCTAGTACCAATTATTCCTATTCCACATATCCCTAGACCCCATCAAATATGAACCTGAGCACAGTGCCAGAGTTAAGTCTGGAGCACTGCTAATTTGGGGTGAAAGCAATCAAACAAAAAATATACTAAGAAATGAAATAAAATTGATTATTTTTTTATTTGTTTTCTTTTTGGTCCATACCTGGTGAAGCTCGAGTGGGCCCAGTAACATCTCCATTGTGAGACTTGTTGTTACTGTTTTTGGCATATAGAATATTTCCATGTGGCAATAGAAGCATGCTGAAAGTAGACTATAGTCCGAACATGATTACCACTCAATGCCATCTTTGCAAACCACAACACCCAAAAGGAGAGAGAAAACAAAAGGGAATGCCCTGCCACAGAAGCAGGATGGGATGGGAGGAATGGGGGGTGGGAGGGATACTGGGACCAGTGGTGGTGGAAAATGGGCACTGGTGGAGGGATGGTAGTTGATCATTGTATAACTGAAACCCAAGCACAAAAATTTGTAAGTCTACAACTGTACCTCATGGTGTTTCACTAAGGTAAAAGGTAAAGGTAAAGGCCCTCTCGTTGTTCGTTGATTTGCTTGAGCGGGCCCAGTAATGTCTCCATTGGAGACTTTGTTGTTACTGTGTCTGGCATATCAAGTACATCACGGGGAGCTTGTCAGGCTCTGCCTTGCGTGCGAGATACTCTCGGTAGCTTGCCAGGCTCTCCGAGAGGGGCAAAGGAATCGAACTCGGGTCGGCCATGTTGGCTGCGTGCAAGGCAAATGCCCTACCGCTGTGCTATCACTCCAGCGATAGTGTTTCACTAAATAAAATAAAATAAAATAAAATAAAATAAAATAATAGAATATTGCCCATGTGGGCATATTTGGCATATTGAATACGTCACGGTGAGCTTGCCAGTCTTTGACATGCGGACGAGATACTCTTGGTAGCTTGTTGGGCTCTCTGAGAGGGGTAGAGGAATCAACCCAGATCGCCCCGGTCGGCTATGTGCAAAGCAAACGTCCTACCAGCTGGAGCAATAGCACAGCGGGTAAGGCGTTTGCCTTGCACACAGCTGTCCTGGGTTTGATTCCTCTGCCCCTCTCGAGAGCCCAGCAAGCTACCGAGAGTATCTCGTCTGCACGGCAAAGCCTGGGAAGCTCCCCGTGATGTATCCAATATGCCAAAAACAGTAACAGCAAGTCTCACAATTTGTTGTGAGATGCTACTGGTGCCCACTCAAGCAAAACGATGAACAACAGGATGACAGTGCTACAGTGCTATCTGGCGAGTCTCAATATTATTCCAGGCTTTGCATTTAGGAATCACTCGTGACAGTGCTCAGGGACTATTTGGGATGCTATGGATCAAACCTGGGTTGGCTGCATGCAATGTTAGCACCCTCACAGCTGTGGACATGGGCAGGGACATGGCCAAAGCAGGAGCAGTTTCATGCTACTGAACGCAGGGTTTGCTCTTGGTGGACTGGGTGAAGTTTCATTTCATCATCATTTCATCATCCTGTTAATCGTCGATTGCCTCGAGCAGGCCCCAGTAACGTCTCTTTCATCCTAGCCCTGAGATTATATTCACGGCTCTTTAGGAGAATGAGACCCATCATTGTTACTGGTATTTGGCATATTTGGTAGGCCACGGGGAGTTTGCCAGACTCTGCCCTGTGGGCAGGCTACATTCGATAGCCTGCAAGTTTGTCCAAAGTAGGAATGAGATAATAAGATGTCTTCGGCTGCCGTAGCCCTGGTCGGGGCGGGGAGGAAAGCTCAACCCGCTCCCCTCCAAGGGACTCCGGGAAGGAACACCCAGGCGCGGGGGCAGAGACTGCACTTTTCTCGTCCGGGATCTGGATTTTATAGTCTCTGAGTCTTGGCCGCTGATGGGATTACACGGCGCCAGGGGGCCAGGTGGTGGGTGTGACCCCCGCCTACTGGAATTTGGAGGATCTGGGTGGAAGATGCTCGACTCCAAATCGAGTAGGCTTGGAGGTCTCGGCCCGGGAACCCGCGTGGCTTTGTCCCTCTGCCAGTACCTTCAGGTGTGCGGAGAGTGGTCTCAGCATGGGGTGGCTGGTCCTGGAGGTCTTCGGCTGCCGTAGCCCTGGTCGGGGCGGGGAGGAAAGCTCAACCCGCTCCCCTCCAAGGGACTCCGGGAAGGAACACCCAGGCGCGGGGGCAGAGACTGCACTTTTCTCGTCCGGGATCTGGATTTTATAGTCTCTGAGTCTTGGCCGCTGATGGGATTACACGGCGCCAGGGGGCCAGGTGGTGGGTGTGACCCCCGCCTACTGGAATTTGGAGGATCTGGGTGGAAGATGCTCGACTCCAAATCGAGTAGTTTAGGAATGAGAAAATTCAAAGACAATATTAAGACTTTCACATAGGCAAAGAGGTAAATAAATGGTGGCACAATCACAGAGTGGTGAGGACTAATCAACGTCATTTTAAAAAAACAGTTATCTTCATTTATTGGGCTGGAGCCATGGAACAGCGGGTAGGGCATTTGCCTTGCATGTGGCCAACCCAGCTGACCTGGGTTCTCTGCCAATCCTTCCGAGATCCTGGCAGCTACTGAGAGTATCTCGCCCTCAAGGCAAAGCCTGGCAAGCTCCCCATGACGTATCCTATATGCCAAACACAGTAAAAACAAGTCTCACAATGGACACGTTACTGGGCCCGCTCAAGCAAATCGATGAAAGGGAGGACTGTGACTGTGGCTTCCAATTATGGCAGCACAATCTACCAAGGCGTTTGTAGTAGAAATTGTGGCTATGTTATTCTGACACCAGCCCCACCACCAATTTTATTGGCTGCACCCAGAGGTAATGTATGCATATTTGAGAAAAAATATTTTCGAAGCCTTATTGCAGCACTGCAGACTCTTAAAAGGGAAAATTGTGGGCCTAGTGACCCTACCAACCAATCAAATTGATGAAATCCCTCCATCATTTCAACCCCTTCCTACAGTCCATTAGTCATTCCTGGATGAGTCTCTCCAGCTCCACCACTGATGTATATAAACACACCGCTGGGTGAAGAGCGAACAGTGCCCAATGCAAGGCTAAAGTCTGCATCCTGCAAGGAGAGTAGCTCTCCCGTAGCCTCAGGCACTGTGCTAGGCCGGTCAGGACCAAGGTGAGTAGGGATCAATTAGGTGTTATGGGGGACCGGAGTGGGGTATTGAGATTAACCAGATAATATTTTATACTAAAACTCAGAGTTGAGTGACCACTCCAGTGATGTGAATGGGGAGGTCATTTGCTCATCGCAGAGAGCTGTGAGGTGAAACAGTATCAGGTGAAACAGGGGACCCTAATGTATGAAGGCCCAGAAGTTGATTTGCTTATTGGTAAATACCATTTGGAGGGCGTTGAGTCCAGACGTACACTAGATTCTCAGAGACCATCCCTGAGTAAACGAAATTGAATTCAGAACAGAGGTCTGAATAGGTGATTTTTTTTCTGGCTGGAGGAAATGTGGAGCTCTGCCTTGTGAGGCAAAAACACCCTAGTTCTGCCCATCCCACACCTGAGGATGGAGGAGGTGTCGGCAGCCCTGGCCAAAATGCAGCCAGAGCTCATCTGTCACATCTGCCTGGACTACCTCAATGACCCCATCACCATCTACTGCAGACACAACTTCTGTGACTCCTGCATCCGCATGTCATGGAAGGACTTGCAGGATACATTCCCTTGTCCTGTGTCTCAGCAATCCTGCCAGGAGTTGCGCGTCAGTGCCAACGCCCAGCTGGGCAGGCTGGTGGACCTGGCCAAGCTCCCATACAGCTCAAGGAGCAGAGAGATGGCACGTGCAGAGGAGGGCAGGGGTGGGGAGCACAGGCAGGGGATGATCCTCTTATGAGAGGAGGACCAGGAGCTGGTGTGTCCCCTGTGAGCCCAGGGCCCTGCCCACCAGGGCCACCACGTCAGGTCCGTGGCTGAGGCAGTGGCTCACAGACAGAGGGTCGGCGACTGCATCAAATCCCTGAAGAAACAGCTGGCAGAGGTGCAGAAGTGAGAAGTCACCCATGACCGAAACGTCCTGCAGCTGAGAGCAGATGTGGGAAAGCACAGGACTCGGCTGGCCTTGAAACTTGCGCAGCTCACCCAGTTTGTGGAGCGTGAGCAAGATGCTGCTCTCTGCAGGCTGGCAGAAGGAGACAAGTGCCTGCACACGAGAGAATGCCACACACAGCACCAGGAAAGCGGCATGCTCAGAAAAGCTTGGCAGGTTCCAGAAGGGAAGTTTTCACTTAAAGCAGCATTCTAGACTGAAAGAATTTCTACTTCATCAGTGAAGTCCATTTGCAGAGAGCCAGTGTGATAATGGAGACAGGGCGATTTTTCCAAATGCTTGTTGCATCCAACAGTGACAACAATAAAGCCAGAATACATATTAAAAAAATGAGTAATGTGGTCTGGAATCAGAAAACAACTTAGTGTCTAGAGAAATTGCCTGAAATGCTGGAGTGCCTGCCTAGCAGGGGAACATAGGGATTAATTACTCAGCAACACTTAAAGCTTTGAGCACCCTTAGCAGCAATCCTGAGCAACACATCGGGAGCCAGGAACAAGCACTGAGCACTGGCACTGGGTCTGGTGTGGTCCCAAAATTAACAACAACAACAACAAAAAGAAGAAGAAGATAATTATATAGTAAAAATATCCCTAGTAACACAGGTATAGGAATTACCAAAAAGTTTAGAAAAGAACAGTCTAGAACTAGACTACTGGGATGGAAAATCAATTTTGGAGGACTGCTGTCTTGCAAGTTTTCATCCTGTGAACTAAGAATTCCAAGCTTGGCTCTGGTCACCCCGGTGTTTTGCAGTGATGGCAGTTACAGGAAAGGCACTTCCTGAGCACATGGTTTTCTCAGGCAGTTCCTTGTGGCCCAGATCTCTCCCTGGACCCCACACACCCCAGGACCCCTACTTACTGCTGCCAGTCTATAGAGGACTTGCCCCCAAACCCTTAGGGCCACTCATTTCTACTCCCACTGCAATTCTAATTCTAATCTGACTCGACCTGTGGGGAAATACATTTTTCCAAAAAGTTCCTTAATGTGGTTAAATAATACTCATTATTATTTTTATCATCATCATCATCATTTGCATCATATTTGTATTATTTTGAATTGAGGACTGCAGGTGAGAGAGTAGGATAGAGAAGTCCACTTCTCCTGCCACTTTCGCCTTCACCAACCGAGCAGGCCCCAGCTCAGTTTGCTGTCAAATGTCCCCAACAGTCACTTTTCCTGAGCTGTTTCCACGTGCTAGAGCTTAGCCGTGGGGTTTTGAAGTTGCTTTTGCTTTAATTGTATTAGAGTTCAAGATCCCAAGCTTGGATAACCTTAAGCAGTATGTATTCTGGCAGGTTTTTAAAAAGAGCAGTTATGTCGGAGCTCAAAGGGGAAACTGAGGCAAGGGAAATAGCAAAGGGTGCTCTAAGCTACTGGTGTGAAATGTTTCACTGTGATGTAGCTTCACATTGAGTCAACAATTGTTATTAACCTGTAGTTAAGGAGTAAGCAGATTCATAAACTTTCGAACCCTGTCACTCCTTAGTGAGTGTGTCTGTATATACATATATATGTATATATATATATATGTATATATATATATATATATAGTCACGGTCACGGTCATGGTCCTCCCGTTGTTGTTCATCGATTTGCTCGAGCGGGCCCAGTAACGTCTCCATTGTGACACTTGTTACTGTGTTTGGCATATTGAATATGTCACGGGGAGCTTGCCAGGCTTTGCTGTGCACGCAAGATACTCTTGGTAGCTTGCAGTGCTCTCTGAGAGGGGCAGAGGAATCGAACTCAGGTCGGCCATGTTGGCTGCATGCAAGGCAAGTGCCCTACCTGCTCTGCTATCGCTCCAGCTCTATATAATAGAGTAAATAATATAGTTATAATATATATAGAGAGAGAGTTTGGAGGAGATGAAAATCTCTCTCTATATAGATAAATACGTATCTATCTATCTATACACACACTCAACAATACACACACATATGTAACGGTGTATGTATATGTGTGTGTGTGTCAGATGAAGATGGTTTCTAGTGAAGAGTTATTTATTACCTATTAGATGAACCCTATATATTTTATATATTTTATATATTTTATAATATATAAAATATATATATTTTATATATAATATATATATATATAATGGATCTAGGCGGCAGGAAACTGACAAAAAGTGGACTTGGGTTGAAGTTTGGAATCCAATCAACGCTTCAGTGGTGAAAGAAGGAACATGTCTTTCCAGTGTCTTTGTAAACTAAGAGAACTTGGTGGCACTGAAAGGATAAAGTGAGGATAAAAGGTGCAAGGTTTTCTCTAAATCTCCCGTTAGCTCTAGGCCAGTCCACCGGTTGTTTCTTGGAGGTGGGATCATCACCCTTTCCTGAGATTGGTTGCTATAGTTGGAAGACCCACCCAGTGGAGACCCACCTAGTGGAGACCCACCCAGTGGCCTTTAAATGAGCTGGTCAGCTCAGAGACCGCACACTGCTGCCAGGCTGCCCTCACAGAGCATTCAGGAAATCCACTGCAGACTGACCCCAGAGGAACTCAAGACCTTTACAACTGGCCAACCAGGTAAGCATGGGATTGAGACGATGTGGGGAGGCAGAACTTTGAAGGGACACGTACTCTGGAGATTTCTGGCCCTGCAGAGACAGAGATCTGCACCTATAAAGGAAACACATCCTCTGTTCAGTTTCCTGGAAAAGATTTTCCATTCATTACAAATTCCAGTTCCTCTACCTTTCTCATCTTCATCACATATATTCTTGCTAAATTCAGATAGCAATTTGCACCGTGACATAGATCAGACACAGTGGAGAAATGTGATGGATGTGCTCACTGTGGGACTTGGGGTGCAGAGGGGACGCAATGACTGACACCTGATATGTGATGAACCATCTGAAGAAGCTGGTGTTAATCACCATTCTAATCCCAAAGAAACTCTGTGTAAAGAATATCGGACTGGAGGTGACTTTGGGATAGAACTGGACAGTTGTGGGTACTTTGTCAGTGAGAACATTCACTTTGTATACCAATTCCATAGCTTTCCACCACTGTAATATTACATTAAGTAAGTAAAGTAAAGTCCCTCCTGTTGATCATCGATTTGCTCGAGCGGGCCCAATAACGTCTCCATTGGAGACTTTTGTTGTTACCGTGTTTGGCATATCGAATACGTCACGGGGAGCTTGCCAGGCTCTGCCGTGCGGGCGAGATACTCTCGGTAGCTTGCCGGGCTCTCCGAGAGGGGCGGAGGAATCGAACTCAGGTCGGCCATGTTGGTTGTGTGCAAGGCAAACGCCCTACCGCTGTGCTATCGCTCCAGTTAATATTACATTAACCTTATTATCTGAAGCATAACATTTTTTGTCTTTAGAGAGAGGGCCATAGAGGCATCACAATTGCCTCATATGCATCTACCTATGGTTTGATCCCAGGCTCCCCATAATGTCTCCGTGGCACACACCAAAGAGAGAGACAGAGACAGAGACAGAGACAGAGACAGAGGGGGAGAGAGAGAGAGAGAGAGAGAGAGAGAGAGAGAGAGAGAGAGAGAGAGAGAGAGAGAGGTTGGAGTACAGTTTTGAATTAAAGTAAAAAAGAAAAGCACTGACATGGAAATTGGCTTGTCAAGAGTGTGGTTAGAAAAACAGTAGTAGTTTTGGTTGGACATACGTAGCTTTTATATCAATTTTTATCCTGATATACCATCACCCGCATTGCATCCTCAGTTAAGTTATATGGACAATATTGAAGGGTTTGTTTAACTGTGGTTTGTCTGTTTCCTTGCTTTGTTTCTTTATACTCCACATATGAATGAAATAATGTTCTTTTTTTCTTTTTTTTTTTAATTGTTCTCTGGCATCGATCTGTACTAAAGGTTTTAAACTGATTTTTGAGCATCTATCTGTGTTCAGGGTTTACCCCTGCCTCTGCGTTCAGGGATTACTCTCAGCTGGGTTCCTGTGACCAATGGGCTTCTGAGGATAAAACCCGCATCAGACACATTCAAGGTTAGTTCCTTACTCACCTTACTCTCTCCCAGCCCAATTGTGATCTTTAAGAGAGCTCCCTCATATGTATTTTTTTGCCCTGCTTCTCTACTCTTAGGTTTGATTTATCTTTGACTCTTCTTTATGATGTGTTTTGAAGTTTTTCTCCTTGGACTTATTCTATTTGCAACTTTTAAAGCTTCCAGTGTGAACGTACAGTGGGAGTAGCATTTGCCTTACATTCAGCTGACCTGTATTCGAACCCCAATATCCTATTCCTAGGTCCCTGAGCCCTGGAGAAGTAGTTCCTGAGTGCAGAACCAGGAGTAATCCCTGAGCACCACTGGGTGTGGCCCCAAAGCAAAACAAACAAACAAACAAACAAACAAACAGCTTTCAGCATCTGAGTGTATGATTCAAGCCTTGCCTTGGAGATGTTCTTAGCTTCAATTCTCTCTCCAAAATGTAACACCCTATTCTCTTTTATTTGAGACCCTTATTATAGGGATATTTCTCTTCATGCCAAACCATCTCTGGTATTTTCTTCTTTTAACATGTTTGCGGTTTTTAAAATTTTTTTTTTTGATCTTGGAATTTATCTTGCTCAAACACTCAGATTTTTTCCCAGCTTCTGTCATTCTGATGTTTATTCACAATGGGTACTTCTCTCCTTCTTGATTATCAAGCTTTAGTCAATCAGGGAGTTATTCATTACTAAATAATTACTAGATTTTTCATGACTAAAATTCTGGTTCTGACCACATTGAGTATCTGTCCAGATTTCTGATAGTTCCACTAGGGACACAATGTGTGCATCTTAGTCATATATGAGAAGATGGGGGATGGTGAATTGACAACCCTCATTCTACTCTGTGTTTCTCTATTTTAACTAGGTGTACTCTCTCTCTCTCTCTCTTCCTCCCTCCCTCTCGTTACTTCTGAAATCACCTATCAGGCCTGGCAGTAAGCACTCACCCAGGCTTCTCCGCCCAACTCTATGGGTAGAACAGCCAAAAGTGAGAGGCAGGGCTAACCAAGGGAGTGATGTGGTGGCTTTGCTTTGTCACCTTATTGCTCATGAGGCCACTCTCAGTTCCTCCTGGGAGTCTCTCAACAGTGAGGTATGAGCAGCTTGGTTCCCAGTTTAAACTTTTTCATTAGAAACCATATTCAAATGATAAGAGGACAAAAAGGTGTATTCTAAACCTAATCAATCTAGCCATACAACATTGTGTCATTCTATCTCTTCTCTAATCTCACGAAGCAAATGCCACACTACAGGTGTGCTTTGGTGGAAATCCTCCACAATATTCACAGTCACTGTCACTGTCACTGTCACTGTCCTCCTGTTGTTCATCAATTTTCTCGTGTGGGCCTAGTAACATCTCCATCGTGAGACTTTGTTGTTACTGTGTTTGGCATATCGAAAATGTCACGGGTAGCTTGCGAGGCTTTGCCAAGCGGGCAAGAAACTCTTGGTAGTTTGCCGGGCTCTCCGAAAGGGGGCGGAGGAATTGAACTCGGGTCAGTCATATTGGCTGAGTGCAAGGCAAACGCCCTACCCACTATGCTATAACTCTGTTCTAATATTTAAATCATAATAGCATGATTTTATTATAAGTAAAATCAAATAATATGCTACGTTGCATTTGGTTATCATTTTATATGCTCTCTCTATATACATATATAGGCTGGAATTATAGCACAGTGGTAGCATTTTACTTGCAAGCTGCTGCCTGGCTGAGCCGGGTTTGATTCGTCGCCCTTCTCAGAGAGCCTGGCTAGTTACCGAGTCTTTTGCCCACACGGCAAAGCCTGGCAAGCTACCCGTGATGTATTTCATATGCCAAACACAGTAACAACAAGTCTCACAATAGAGATGGTACTGGGACCGCTGGAGCAAATCAATGAACAATGGGAGGAAGTGACATATATATTTATATATATATATATATATATATATATATATATATATCACTGTCACTGTCCTCCCGATGTTCATCGATTTGCTCAAGTGGGGCCAGTAACATCTCCATTACGAGACTTGTTACTGTGTTTGCATATCGAATACGTCACGGGTAGCTTGCCAGGCTCTCCGAGAGGGGCGGATGAATCGAACTCGTGTCGGCCATGTTGACTGCTTGCAAGGCAAACGCCCTACCTGCTGTGCTATATATATTTGTTTCAGACAATTTATACTTTGCATTGACCTATCTCCATTTGTCTATATGTATTTTTTTTCTTTTGACAGTATATGGTAAAATTATCAAACTAAAGTTACTTGGATATCCTCGACGTGGCATAATTTCTTCACTTTCTTGATCTTGTGCCTGTTTTGTAAAAAAAAAAAAGGCCAAAATGCCAAGATAAATGAGTGAAGGGGACCCAGACCCCCAGACATTGTTGACGGTGATCATCTGGCCACACTTTCACTTGGCAGCTGTAAAGACCTCAGGATCTGCAAAGGAGAAATCAAAAACAAGTTTGTGGTAGTAAAACTTGCTGACAACCTGGAAAGAGGTCAGCTTTCCTCAAAGCGTGAGTGCTAAGAAGAACGTTGCTTCTGACCTCAGAGTGGGTAGAGAACCAGAACATTCTCAAAGGAACTTCTTCAGGTAGCCCTATTCCTGACCAATGGCATTTTCAGCTTCCCTGGCTGAGATCCCAGCAGAGGCCAGCTGCCCTCACTGTCTGGATTACCTGAGAGACCCAGTGACCCTTGAGTGTGGGCACAACTTCTGTGATTCCTGCATCCACCAGTGCTGGATTGACCTCCAGGACGTCTTCCCGTGTCCCGTCTGTCTCCACCACTGCCCTGACAGGAACTTCAAGAGGAACAACCAATTGCGTCACGTCACAGAAGTCCTTAAGCAGCTCCCCACTGGAAAGAGCAAAAGGAAATGGCAGGCAGAGGAACCCCTGTGTGAGAAGCACAATGAGGCCCTGGACCTGTTCTGTGAGGAGGACCAGCAGCTGTTGTGTCCTCAGTGTCGAATCTCCACTCACCACCAGGCTCACCACCTGATCCCCACTGACAGAGCTGCAGAGAGTCAAAGGAAGAAGCTCAAAGGATTCATAGAACTTCTGAAGACAAAGATGAGCGATGCTGAAAAGGAGTGTGAAAATCAAATTGCACAGAGTGTGGAAGGAAGGTGGAAAATAGCTTCTTGGAAAGAAGAACTACAAACTGAATTTGAGCAGTTCAAACTTTCCTTGAGTGAAGAGCAATTTTCAATTCATGTCAGCTTGCTCAATAGAGAGAGAGAGATGGAAGAACAGATAGCGCAGAATAAGAGCCAAAGTTTAAGCAGTATGAACACAGTAAAAATTCTCTTGGGTGACATAACAGAGAAGTGTTTGCAGGCTGACCAGGATTTTCTAGCAACTGCTGAGAACCTGCAGCATAGGTATAAAAACCCACTCTTCCCTACAGTCTCCTCATATGAATTCAAGAATGAGAGCTACACACTTCCTCCCAATTATGTTGGTCTGCACAAAATAATGAGCAAATTCCAGGAGAATTTGACACTGGATCCTGATACCGCCCATCCAAGTCTGACCATCTCCAAAGATAGAAGTAGTGTCCACATTGGATCAAGTCACCCTCACCTGCTGGACCACCGTCATGTTGACAACATTGTTCCTTTCCCAGCTCTGCAGTGTTGTGAGTCCTTTGATGGAGGCAGGCATTTTTGGCAGGTAGAAGTGAGAGGCATAGGCGAATGTTCCCTCGGAGTGTGTAAAGCATCCTTCCATGATCATACTTGGACACTTCCCTTCTCTCAAAGTGACTTATGGCAATCAGATATCACCTTGTCTTTCCCTGGTAATATGCACATTGAAAGGCCAGAACAATTTGTGAGAACGAGAATTGGTGTTTTTCTGGATTATGAAATGGGAGAACTTTCTATTTTTAATATGAATAACAGGTCATGTTTGCATAGGCTCACTGGTACACTCTCAGAAAAAGTGATACCCTATTTTGCTATTGGACCTTTATCGAAATCTCTTACAATGCATATCGTTAGAGACGAATGATGTGAACATACTGGAGGATAATGTGGTCTGTGGTATGTTTCTTCCCCCTGTTATTGAAGGTTCAATGTAAATAAAGCTTTTCACACAACTGCTAAAAGGCTTCTTTGATTTTTTTTCCCCATTTCATCTTTGCCTGGGAAAATTGACAGGAGACCCTTTCGTATCAAGTGAATCTCTGTAGACAAGCAAGTTTCTAGTAATGTTAGAATAATCACTGCATGCCAGCCACTACTCCCTAGAACACCTAAAATACTTGTTTTGGGCAACTTTTCTTTTTTGGGACCTACTGTGTATTTTTACCTCAGGGGTTTCCAGCTAATCATTATTTGCTCATAGTCATTTCTGATTCCAAAACTCCTCAACATTTTCTACTTTGTTATTTTGTACAGAATTTGCAGATTTCGCTTCATTCTTAGGAATTTCTCCAGCTTTTTATGCTATTTCCTCTACCTTGTTACTGAAATTAAGAATAAAGTTATGGCATGCACAACTAGCTCGATCTCCTAGAAAACCGGTTTTCTCCCCTGATCTGCTCGGGACAGGAATGGAGGCCCACCTCTCGGCAACAAAGCTGAACATCTCCTATTCCAGCCAGGTACAGCTCCCCCCCAGTGTCCGGGACTCTTTCTGGGCATGCACAGCTTGCTTGATCTCCTAGAAAGCTGGTTTTCTCCCCCAATCTGCGCGGGACAGGAACGGAGGCCCACCTCTCGGCAACAAAGCTGAAGGTCTCCAATTCCAACCAGGTACAGCCTGGCTCCCAGTGCCAGGGACCCTTTCTGTAGCCACGGCTGCTAATGCGGCCGCGAAATATTCTCCCACTACATATGCCATAGGAACCATAAGCTACCCTCTTAGATGGAATCTTCTCTATTTTAGCTCAGCCACTAGAAACACAGTAGCCAATAACTCATAAGCCTATCTCAACTCACACTGCATATTAAGTAGAATAGTAACAGTGAACGTGAAGGACTAAACCACACTTGTCACAATGGTAAAGCAACGCAAAAGCCCACCAAACTTTCTTATTGAAGTGGCTAGCCCAGATGACACCAACAGTACTGTAGTGTTAGACAACCTCTCTGACAAGGAATTCAGAAGGGAGATACTTAGCATGCTTAGGGAACTAAAAGAAACAATGGAAAGCAATGCCAATAGAAGACAAGAGGATTTGAAGGCAGAAATGAGGAAAATGCAATCGGAAATGTCAGACCTGAACAATCTCGTAGGCAAATTGAAAAACTCAGTGGAAGGCCTCAGCAGCAGAGTAACAGCTGCTGAGAACAGAATCAGTGAGCTCGAAGATGAAGTTCAGAGACTCTCCAGAAAAGAGCAGAAAATGGAAAAGAGACTCACAATTCGGGAGCAGATGGCAAGAGAAGATTGTGCTGAAGCCAAGACGGGTAACATAGAATTTTTGGAGTCCCAGAGGGACAGGAAGAAAACCTTGATGAAGAAGAAACTGTCAAAGACATCATTGCTACAACGTTTCCAGAGCTGAAGAAAACTTGCGACCACATTCAGGAGGCCCGAAGGGTACCAGCTAGAAGAAATCCAAATAAAAATACCCCAGGACACATCCTGATCAAAATGACCAAAACCTTAGACAGAGTCAAAATTCTGAAAGAAGCAAGATCGAAGAAAGAAATCTCTTACAAAGGAGCATCCTTAAAATTCACAGCTGATTTTTCTGATGAAACCCTCATGGCCCGAAAACAGTGGTGGGAGTAGGTGAAAAAACTCAATAAAATAAATGCCTCTCCAAAAATACTTTACCCAGCGAGACTCTCATTCATAATAGAAGGAACAACACACAGTTTCACAGACAAATAACAGCTCAGGAACTTCATAGACTCAAAACCATGGTTACAAGAACAATTAAATGGGCTACTTTAAGGCAAGACAGGCCCCTCAAATACACCAAATTTCAACAGAACAATGGGACAAAATTCCATAAGAATAATCTCTCTCAATGTCAATGGGCTAAACGCACCAATTAAAAGACATAGAGTAGCAGGTTGGATTAGAAAAGTGAACCCAACATTCTGCTGCCTGCAAGAAACACATCTCAATAGTCAAAACAAACACAGACTCAGAGTCAAAGGTTGGAAAACAATCCTACAGGCAAACAGCTCCCATAAATAAGCTGGGGTAGCCATCCTAATATCAGACCACATCGATTTCAGAGTGAAGAAGGTCATAAGAGACAGTGAAGGCCATTTCTTATTGATCAAAGGATCTGTACAACAGGAAGAACTTACAATAATAAAGGTATAGACACCTAATGAGAGACCAGCAAAGTACTTAAAACAACTACTCATAGATTTGGAAAAAGACATCAATAGCAGCACAATACTAGTGGGAGACTTCAACACCGCTTTGTCACCTCTTGATAGATCAACCAGACTCAAGCTCAGCAAGGACATACTTCATCTGAGGGAAACAATGGAAGAAAGGGACTTAGTAGATATATACAGGACACTTCATCCTCAAAAAGCTGAATATACATTCTTCCCAAGCATACATGGAACATTCTCCAAGATAGACCACATGCTGTGTCACAAAACATGCCTCCATAAAATTAAGAAGATAGAGATTGTGTCAACAATCTTCTCAGACCATAATGCGCTGAAATTAGAAGTAAATCACACAAAAAGAAAATTAAATCAAACACCTGGAAATTATACAGTGCGCTATTGAACAATGAGTGGCTTAGAAAGGAAATCAAAGAAGAAATCAAAAGATTCCTAGAAACGAATGAAAATGAGAACACGAGTTACCAAAATTTATGGGACACAGCAAAAGCTCTGTTAAGAGGAAAGTTTATAGCTCTACAAGCATTCCTCAGGAAGGAGAAGGGAGCACACATAAATAACCTAAACTCACAGCTTAAGAGCTTGGAGAAGGACCAACAAAAGGAGCACAACCCGAACAGGAGAAAGGAAATAATAAAACTCAGAGCAGAGATTAATGAGATGGAAACCCAAAAAACAATCCGAAAGATCAATGAAACCAAGAGCTGGTTCTTCGAGAAAATTAACAAGATCGATAAGCCTCTAGCAAAACTCACAAAGAAAGGGAGAGAGAAAACCCTAATAAACCGAATCAGAAATGAAAAGGGGGTCATTACAACAGAAACCACAGAAATTCAGAGGATCCTCAGGGAGTACTTTGAGAAGCTTTATGCCACAGAACATCAAAACCTCGAGGAAATGGATAAATTTCCTAGACTCCTACAGACTCCCAAGGCTGAACCAAGAAGACCTGGAATACCTGAACAGACCTATCACCATCAAGGAAATTGAAATGGTAATAAAAAGTCTCCCCAAGCACAAAAGTCCTGGCCTGGATGGATTCACTAGTGAATTCTTCCAAATCTTTAAAGAGGACTTACTCCCAATTCTCTTTAAGCTTTTCCACAAAATTGAAATACAAAAACACTTCCGAACAGTTTCTACGAAGCAAATATCACACTGATACCAAAAGCAGACAGAGATACCACAAAGAAAGAGAATTACAGACCAATATCCCTGTTGAACACAGATGCAAAGATCCTCAACAAACTACTAGCAAATAGAATACAACTACTCGTCAAAAAGATCATACACCATGACCAAGTAGGATTCATCCTAGGGTTGCAAGGATAGTTTAACGTTCAGAAATCAATCAACATAATCCATCATATCAACAAATGAAAAGATAAAAAGCATATGATCATATCAATAGATGCAGAGAAAGCATTAGACAAGATCCAGCACCCCTTTATGATGAAAACCCTAGCCAAAATGGGTATAGAGGGGACTTTCCTCAACATAGTTAAAGCCATCTACCACAAGCCCACAGCAAGCATCATCCTCAATGGGGAAAAACTGAGAGACTTCCCTCTAATATCGGGGACGAGACAAGGATGCCCACTCTCTCCACTGCTGATCAATATAGTACTGGAAGTACTTGCAATAGCGATTAGGCAAGAAAAAGGTATTAAGGGTATTCAGGTAGGAAAGGAAGACATCAAGCTCTCACTATTCGCAGATGATATGATACTATACTTAGAGAACCCAATAACCTCCACCAAAAAACTCCTAAAAACAATAGACTGGTATAGTAAAGTTGCAGGCTATAAAATCAATACACAAAAGTCCATGGCTTTCCTATACGAATACAGTGAGAGAGAAGAAAGCGATATGAAAAAAACAATCCCGTTCCCAATTGTGCCCCAGAAAATCAAGTACCTAGGAATCAATTTATCTAAGGTAGTAAAGGACCTGTACAAAGAAAACTACAAAACGCTACTTCAGGAAATAAAAGAGGACACGAGGAAATGGAAAGGTATCCCCTGCTCATGGGTCGGGAGACTTAACACTGTCCAAATGGCAATACTACCGAAAGCATTGTATAATTTCAATGCAATCCCTATAAGGATACCCATGACATTCTTCAAAGAAATGGAGCAAACACTCCGGAAATTTATATGGAACAATAAGCCCCCACGAATAGCTAAAGCAATTCTTGAGAAAAAGAAAATCGGAGCAATCAAACTCCCTAACTTCAAACTCTTCTACAAAGCAGTAATAATTAAAACAGCATGGTACTGGAACAAAGGCAGAACTGCAGACCAATGGAACAGGGTTGAATACACTGACATCTCTCCTCAATCATATGATCATCTAATCTTTGATAAAGGTGCAAGAAATGTGAAGTGGAGTAAGGAAAGCCTCTTTAACAAATTTTGCTGGCATCACTGGATGGCTACATGCAAAAAATGGGCTCAGAACTCTGCCTAACACCACGTACAAAAGTAAGATCAAAATGGATTAAAGACCTCAACATCAGACCAGAAACCAAAAGGTACATTGAAGACAAAGTAGGCAAAACCCTCCATGACATTGAAGGTAATGGTATTTTCAAAGATGCCACGTCACTGGCCAAGCAAGTGTAAACAGAGATAGATAAATGGGACTATCTTAAACTAAGAAGCTTCTGCACCTCCAAAGAAACAG